GGAAATGAAAATGCGGTAGTCAACCATATGGGTCGCTACCGATGCAAGGGCCGTTTGTGCCACGCGATGGGCAGCCCTGTTAGTTCTACGAGGAGCAAAAACAAAAGAAATAAAAGCAAAAGAAGTCTTCAACTTCCGCACTTCCTCAAGGACTGCTCCTCCGTGATCATGGTTGACCTCATTCTCCAAAGCACGGCGGATGACCAATTGCGAATCACCACAAAAACAGACAGCAGAGTAACCATGATTAAGGCTCCATAACATAGCGTCTCGCAAGGCTAATAATTCCATCAAGAATGGGTCGGAAATGCCATCATAGAACTTACCGAATGCGCAGATCAAGGAGTGTGTATTATCAAAGCCAACGAAGCCTATGCTTCCTCCCACTCCCCGCCGCGTCGCACCGTCGAACCGGACGAGTAGCCCACCTGGAGGACAAGCTGGGCCTGCTGCTGCGTCCCTTCTCTGTCGTCCTCGAGGAAGTTCTTCCCTTGGTGCAGCAGTCGCCGCTCGCCATTCCTCAAGCTGGCTATTGAATTGCCGAAGCAGGGGACCTGGGAGATACTGGACTTTGTCATAAACTGCCCAACACCTGGCCTTCCATATATGCCAATTGAGGAACACGACTTCTGCGATTTCCGCCTTTGAGAGCTGCATCGAAAAGAAAAGGTTATGCCATGCAAGATCAATGGCCACATTAGACATAGCTAGTCGGATATGCTCTTTCCCAGCAATGCTCCAAACTGCCCGCGCGACCCTGCATTCAAGAAAACAGTGAGTTAAAGATTCTGCACTTTCTGAGCAAATCAAGCACTCATCAGAGTCATAGAGGTGCTTCTTTTGCAGGATAGATTGCACTGGGAGAAAGCCTCTTATAACCCGCCAAAGAAAGAACTTGAGTTTGGGGGGGATTGGGAGGCTCCATAGGGTCTTCCAGAATTTTGAATTGAGATGTGGAGGGAGCTGATAAAACTGTAATTGTCGGCTGGCAGCTTGCAATTGATACCCCGTTTTGACAGTATATTGTCCGGATTCCGAGTAGTGCCAGATGAGTTTGTCGGGCTGGGGTACTGAGGGAAGTGGTATAGAGAGTATCCACGCAACACTCTCAGGGGTAAAGGATGCACGAATGAGCTCTCCATTCCAGGTCCTAGTAATAGGATGAATAAGTGCAGCCACATAGGGACTAGGAAGAGAGACATTGGGCAGCAGGGATGGAGAAGAAGGCGGTGTCGAAGGCAGCCAGATGTCCTCGAGGATACGGATTGCTGAACCACAACCCACTTGCCACCGCAGCCCCTGCTTGAGAAGATTGCGCCCTTCGAGAACACCTTGCCAAGCCCAAGAAGGCCGGGAGCCAGTTGATGCAGCAAGGAAGTCGCAATGGGGGTGATACCGGGCCTTATAAAGCCGTGCAAGGAGGGAGTCCGGACACATCAGCAGCTTCCAAGCCTGTTTCCGAAGCATCGCTATGTTGAAGAGGTCAAAATCTCTAAATCCGAGGCCGCCATGGAACTTGCTTACACTCCAACACCTATTCCTTACTAAACAATATGAGTATTGTTAAATTTGTTTCTTAGAGGATACTGTTCACCGGATATTTATACTCTAACCCAGTTTTACTACAAATTATTTTCCTCATAATGAGTTGTTTACTGAAGTTTTCTTATATTTTACACCCAATTTTACCATAAGCGTATTACACAAATTAAAACCTTTGTAAGATAAATTAATCTTACATAATAGTTTAATCAAATGTGAGATCTGTAGCATGATTTTATTATTAGATCACACGTAATAGAAGAGTACGTAACACCATTTTATAACAATTATTAAAATACACTATCTAAATTATGAAAGTTGAAGGAATAGTTGTTTTTTTATGTACCAATCAAACAAACGTATTACATAAACCTTCCATAATAATTAAGACACTAAGTAAAACTTATGAAAAGTGTCTTACTTGAACTATTTTTTGAGTAATTTTATTTAATTAGATCATTAAATGAGTGAATTAAATTTTATTATAAAAAATAGTTTATTACCGCCGCGCAACACGTATGGGCGGACCCACATACAAGAGTGGTTTGTCAATTGACAAATCTTAAATGCAAAATTTGGACAAATTACTAGTGTAAAATTTGATTTCAGTGATGGTAGCATATGAATTTAAAATTATTTGACAATCTTTAGAGATTTTGATGCATCGTTGAATATCTTTGATGAAATTTCTGGGTCCGCCACTGACAACACGAGTAAAAAAAAAGTTGACATCAAATTGTCAAGATAGCTTAATACAATATAGGTTTCAAGAGACGAAAGATATTTCAAATTCGGGTATGGGTAGAAAAAGGAATACCAAATTTGAAATATGAACTTAATTAGGGATCATTTACATTAAGGGGTCGTTTGGTTTTGGTGATAGTTAAATAGATGGATTGTCATCAATGCATGCATAATAATATACATGTATATATATATGAAAATTGGTGTATTGTAGATTACATCGTTTGGTTTTTGTGATAGTTATTGTGTTATTTGAATAAGTTATATTACTTTTTGGGTGAAATGTCACTTTCACCCTTTGGGTGTAATATACAAAGGCAAGACACATAAAAAGGTAGGGACATAGTTGGAAGAAAAAAACACACAACAATCTCAACCAAACAATCTCAACAATCTCACCGAAAACTTGAGATTTAACTATCACTCATTTGAGTGATAGTTTGTGTCAAATCAAGCAAACAATGCAGGTATTGTTTGTGCAGAAAATTCAAAAAAAAAGTGCATTGTGAACAATACATGTATTGTAACTATTTCAACCAAACAATCACCAAAACCAAACGACCCCTTAGAATTTGGGGTATGGGTTTTCGCCCAAATGTCATATTTGGGAAGGACTTTCACAGATGCGGAATTGAGACTCGAGAATTTTAGGCAAAACCACAAATGTGGAGTTTCGAAATAACTGTCCACCCAGAGTATTCAGAAAATCCACATTTCCTCCCGCTCCTTCAAAGGACATACAATTAATTCACGTATAGTTTTTTTTTATAATCAGACCTGGAATTTATTAATGCCTCATGGACTCAGAATTCAAAATTGGTGAAAGAAAAACAGGTGGACGGGATATCCAGCATTCCTGGGAGTCCCAATTACGTTTTGTGTGGGCCATGAGATGGGCCGCTCCATTTTCTTCTCTTTTCACAAAGCTCCACTGGACCTGGCCCAATCTGGCTACTTCTGCTTTCAGCTCTCTGATCAACGTTCCAGCCTCCATTCTCGAAGCCTCCGTATTCTCCAGCGCGAGAAATGCGCCCTGGCAATCAGTTTTTATGATGACTGAGCTGAAACCATGCCTCTCAATTTGCTTGACACCAAAAGCAATGGCCTTGATCTCTGCCAGCTCTGGAGTCCATTGAATGCGCTCTCGGCAAACCGCTACCATCAGGAAATGGCCTCTGTCATCTCGAGCAACAACCTCATATCCCGTTCCTTCATCCTTCAGAACCGCAACATCGACATTCAGTTTGATCCATCCCGTCGGTGGAGGTTCCCAGGTGACTCTCTCCCTTTGCTTCAATTCGAATTCTTTGGAGTGATAAGACTTGAATTCCTCCCAATAGGTTAGGGCTTTCCCTACGATTTCCCCTAGTTCTGCTTTCCGATTATTGAACATATGGTTATTGCGTTCATTCCCGCTCCTTCAAAGGGCATACAATTAATTCACGTATAGTTTTAAATCATTGATAATCCTTTTTTCCAATCCTTTTCACTTTTTTTATTGAGTGTTTATAATGATCAGGGTACTGATCGTGAAACACTTTCACTATTTTTCATTGTTGTATTGACTGGCCAATATTTTTGAATAACTTGACAGTAAACAAATAGTTCACAGTTCACTTGTGCAAATTTGTAATGTTGAAAAAACACCGGTGAATGTATCTCGGTAATACTGCTGTAACGATACACCAATATATTGTGCCTAATGGTAATTGAGATTAGTGATTTAGGGTATAAAAGGAGGGAGGGATAGGGTACACAAACATAATATAAAAATTTTACAAACTATAATCTGGAGCCATCCAATAAATCCAACTAATGACTCACAATATAATTCATACAAAAACAAGAGGGAGGAACAAACCGTTCCGTTCGTTTGAACTACAAAATTAAAAAAATTACATATAAACGACTGATTAATTAGATGTACACGATGATATCAATTTTGTTATATTTTGATAAAAATACTCTTCAAAATAAGTGTTGGTTGTAATATTCTCACTAGAGGTGGCAATTGGATCGGATTCGTGGATTCGTGGATTGGATTGGTGGATTAATGGATCAAATGGATTGGATCCAATGGATTGGTGGATTCATGGATTGGATCAAATGGATTGGTGGATTGATCCATGAATCCAAATGACATCCAAGACTTGGACCAAAATGTAAATTTTGAAAAGTTTAGGTACTAAAATGTCATAATGAAAAAATTTAGGTACCAAAATGTAATTTTCCAATGATTTTTTTCGTATAAAAATATAAATTTTAGGTACCAAAATGTAAAATATAAAAAATATAGGTACCAAATGGATTTGGATCCATGGATTGATCAATGAATCCACCAATCCAATTGGATTTGGATCAAATGGATTGGATTTAAATGGATTTGATTAAATGGATAATTTGGTGGATGGATTGGATTCATGGATTTGGATTCTAATTGCCACCTCTAATTCTCACTATCATATAATCATGATATGATGACAAATCTCATTTCTTTTATGTGTCATCGGTTGCAAAAACTACCATGTTCTACATTTAATTGTATCTACCCATAGAGAAGATGATATGTAAAAATAATGAAGATGAGCTAAAAAAAGATGTGTAAGTAGTTATAAAAAACCTACATATATAAAGTTTTTTTTTAGAATATAAATTTTCATTAATCATAGAAGAACTTACATAAAGCTCCCTCCAAATAACATAAAAAAAAACCCATTTCGGTGTACTTCGACACATCCAGAAATTTGGTCCTTCATAATTTACGTACGTATACACGTTCAAATTACTTTGTTATGACATCTTTCTTTTTTAGTACGAACTTGTGTCGCACTGATAAATATAGAGTTGTTACAACAGTTCTACAACAAATAATACATAAAAAAAAATCCAATACTCAGATAGTGACAATCATGTATCATAATTTCTGGAACTTAACTCCGCTAGTCCGTTTTCAGTTGTTTCTATTCCCTGTCAACCTGGATAAAAATCGTGGTGACTATTAGTTTATATATCCATATGAAAACGGAAAACAAGAAGAAAAAAACCACCATAAAACACCACAACTAAATCAATTTTTTTCCATTTAAAAAAAAACTTTTTTTTAACCACTTTCTTGTCGCTAAGAATTAGCGACCAATCTTTAACGACAGCGTTTGGTCACAAAAAAGGTGCGTTCCTTATGCTGCGTGAAGTGAGGAACTTACTGTTTGAAATTAACGGAAACGACACCAGCATTAGGATTGGCAATGGCGGCGAAAGCAGCTCTGGAGAGAGTCAGAGTCTGGCAAGGGCGATTCGTTGTGGGGCTGCAAGTGTCTACGATCTCCACCACCACTTTCTTTCCTTTCTTGCAACCGGCGCCGGTGCACGTCACCTCGAACCTCTGCCCGCAAGCTTTCCCTCCCCGAAACACCAGAATATCCGCCGCCGCGACGAGCTTGCCCAGGCCCTTCCTCCCGGGGCATGCAGTAGCTGCAACCACAACATTGTGGTGACAAAAAAGTTCTGGTTGCAAAATGTATCGTCACCAAAGTTTGAAAATTTATAAAACAGGGGGTACTCACCGGCGGAACGCGGTACGAAGAAGCCCGCGGTCCCGGGATCGGCGGCAGCAAAGTCGGCCAAAAGCAGGGCGCAAATCAACGAAACGGCCGCTGCTGCGGAGAGCGAACGGGAATTGATGGACTTCATCGCCATGGAAATATGCGGTGGTGATCTCTTGCTTTGCTTGGTTAACTGGTTTTGCCTGTGTCTCTAATGTATGCTATGTTCGACAGCAGAGGAAGGTTTGTGAGTAATTTCCAAGGAAGCTTGAGGCTTTTTATAGTGGGAATATGCTGGTCATTATATTTGGGGACATCACATCAATACAGCTCTTCAAATAATTTAGCGCTCCGTTTGGAAGTTGAGAGTCTACGAATATGTGTATTCTTGCAATGTATGTATTCTAAGTGTAGTGATTGAAAGAAACAGGGGCGGAGCCAGGAATCGACGATCGGGGAGCCGAAAATATTTTTGTATGTTATCGCAAAATTACTTAAAAAAATTAAAATAATAATTTTATATTATTATAACATCACAAATTATTCATTGAAACGATTAACATCACTTTGGAAACTAACTTTTTAAGCATTGAGTTCAATATAAATTAAAAATAATAATTAATAATACATTTCGATATTGTATTGCACATATGTTTTCATAATTAAGAGATAGGTCTTACACGAGTATTTACAAAAAAATTGTTGTTGTATATACATATGCTTAAAGCTGCTAAAAGTATTAAAAGAAATCGGTAGTGAATAGCTAGCAAAAAATACTTGCTTTGCATGAGAATTGAACAAAGGGACCTATTGAAAGCAAAACAACCGACCTTCCGCTACGCTAGGAGTCTGTTTTGTCAAATTAATGCATACTAGAGCATTTTAACCATTTTGTTTATTTATACGTAAATTGCCCTAGTATTTTAGACGTAACTTTCAAGATTCTCGGGGGGGGGGGGGGGGGGGGGCGAGGCCCCCCCGAGCCCTGCTGTAGCTCCGCCCCTGGTAAGAAATAGATGATTGTAAGAATATGTTGTTTGGTAGTTGTGATTATTACTTTTGAAGAATGTAAGAATTCCCACTTTAATGACCAAAAAGACTTGTATAGCCTTGAAATTCTCTTTATATAATCATTAAGGGAGGGGCAAATATGAAAAATATAAAAAAATAAGGATAAGTGTGCAAAAAAAGCAATTAAAAAGTAAAGTAAGAGAATCTCACCTTTTTGTAGAGATTCTAAAATGGATGATTCTAACAATTTGAGATTCTAAAGTTTCATTTAAATGCATGCATTCTGGATAAGTTTATTCAAAAGAACGATGGATTGTAAAGAATACACACATTCATAGAATCACTCATCTAGACTCCTAACTTCCAAACGACCCCTTAAGTTAGTGGATTCAATCGATTTTTGATAATGGTATATACGAATTAATTTTGATAATGGTATATACGAATTAATTTGTCCTTGATGTCACGTGTTGTCGTGTTCAAGTTCCGACGACCCTTAATATTAATTAATGTTTCAGAATACATGGTATGTTAGATTTGTGCAAACTTCAAATTCATGGGTATGCTTTCGTTTGAGAAGGTATATAAAAAAAGTGAATGGGATTTCCTAAGGTAACTCGAATTACTAAGACCGGTTGATTTAGGACACACACCGTGATGTGTTGAATTGGCGGTATTGAGTCAACAAGCTTTGGAAAGATGATGATGACGACAAGCCACTAGTTAACATGCGCTAGCTCCACATGTTTAGTGGGTTGCCGTCCGGCGAGTACTCTGTGACTGCCGCCTGCCGGACTTCGGTGTAGGAGGAATTTTCGAGGGCTCGGAGTTTCTTACCTTTGAAAGAGAAGTGTGATGATTAAGACCGACATTTGAGTGATCACAACGACCAAAATTTCATGCGTGGAAGTGTCTATAAGGGAATCTTTCATACTATGGAGTGAGTTCATATTATAGCCGGCGGCATTCCTCCGTTGATCGATTCACCAAATTCACTAGTTGGAGTTACTTGGGAATTGACATTAAACAAATATGGGTAGCGATAAGAGCTAGCAATTAACTAGTCTGGAAAAGAATCTAGACTGCTGCATTCAATAGTGAAAGAAACTGAGATGAACTGATAAACCCACATCTGGCAAAGAAAGAAGCAGGGGAGGGGAATCAAGACCTACTTACGGCGCTCTGCTTATTAGTAAATTGAAAGAAGCCAACTATCCAAGTGAGCAACGAACCGGTCATGGCGTTGCTCGGACTCGGCAATAACAGACGATATGGTCACCATATACAACAAAAACCTTGCCGGCCACTAGCTGGAGGAATCAGCAATTAGCTTCTGCATATCCAAGTCGATCGGCAGGGGATACTTGAACTCTGATTTTCCAAGATGGAATACTTGAACTTCCCGCCTCTGTTTTTGCTTTTGTGCTCGTTTGGGTCGTCACTAGCTGCTGGAGGAATCAGCGATCGGAGTAGTACTGACCTACGAGCTCTGCTCGATTTCAAGTCAAAAATTACCTCAGACCCACTAGGGTTCTTGGATTCATGGAACAGCTACGACGACAACAACCAGTCTTCTTCTTCTTCTTCATCTTCTTCTCCGCTCCATTTCTGCCAATGGGCAGGGGTCACCTGCGACGTCAGCAATCAAAGCATTATCAAGCTCGACCTCAGCTCTCAGCTCCTCCAGGGCTCGATTTCCCCGTCCATCGCCAATCTCACTTACCTCCGGGGACTCTTGCTCCAAAACAACAGCTTCTACGGCGAAATCCCCGCCGGAATCGGAAACTTGGCAGGCCTCCAGATTCTCAATCTGCAAAGCAATTCCCTCACAGGAGAAATCCCGCGAAACATCTCCGCCTGCTCAAACCTCATCACCCTCAATCTCGGCGAAAACAGGCTCGTCGGAAACATCCCGGATCCGGTCGTCGGTACTTCGGAGCTCAGGCATTTGATTCTCGAGTACAACAATCTCACCGGCGGCGTCCCTCCATCGCTGGGTAATATTTCGTCTCTAGAAGTAATCACCGTAAACTTCAACAACCTCAGAGGAACGATCCCCGAAACACTGGGTGGCCTCAAGAACCTGTATTTCCTCTCAATGGGAGGAAACTCGTTCACCGGAACAATCCCAATTTCCATCTACAACATTTCTTCCATGAGCGTTCTGCATTTCACGCAGAATCAGCTCGAGGGGACGATCCCAACAGAATTGGGCAACCTTCTCCCAAATCTCACCGTGTTCAACATCGCCGAGAATCGATTCACCGGCGAAATCCCTCCTTCGCTGTCCAACGCTTCAAACTTGGAGAGGTTTACAATTGCTATAAACAGAGTCTCTGGAACACTGCCGTCAATGGAGAAGCTGCACAAGCTGTGGTGGCTGAGCATTGCGGATAACTTGCTTGGAACCGGTGAAGCCGGTGATCTCGATTTCCTTTCCACTTTCAGCAACCTGTCGAGCTTACAGTTGATTTCCATGAGTCAAAACAGATTCGGCGGATCGCTGCCGCAATCGGTCGTTAATTTTACAGAGCTTTCGATTCTGGCGGTGGATGGTAACAAGTTATCCGGAAGAATACCGGAAGGGATTGGGAATTTGAAGAAATTGGAATGGTTACATTTGGGGAACAATCGGCTTACGGGCTCTGTTCCTGAAGAGCTTGGCGAATTGGGGAATTTGAAGAAACTGTATCTCTTCCGAAACAGATTCACAGAGGGAAGAATTCCTTCCTCTTTTGGGAATCTAAGCAAGCTGACACATCTCAGCATGCAGAAGAGTTATATACAGGGGAAGATTCCTCCAAGCTTGGGGAACTGCCGGAATTTGCTGAAGCTGAATCTCGATGGAAACAATCTCACCGGAGAGATCCCAGGAGAGATTCTGAGCATTGAATCGCTATCTATCTACCTGGGCTTGGCCGATAACAGATTCACAGGCGCCCTGCGGCGACAAGTCGGGAACTTGAAGAATCTAGGAGCAATGAACGTTTCGCACAACCTGTTATCCGGCGAAATTCCGGCGAGCCTCGGAAGCTGCATTCGATTGGAGGCGCTTATGTTGGAGAGCAATTCCTTTCAGGGATTCATCCCTTCGTCGCTGAATTCTTTACAGGGGATTCAAGTTTTGAACTTTGCTAACAACAACTTGACCGGAGAAATCCCAGAGTTCATCGGGAGCTTCCAGTCACTCATAGCGCTGGACCTGTCTTTCAACAGCTTCCATGGCAGAGTGCCGAGCGAAGGCGTGCTCGCAAACGTAACCGCAGCTTCCTTTTACGGAAACAGTCAATTGTGCGGCGGCATTCCGGAACTTGAACTGCCTCCCTGCATCAGCAATGCGAAACCAAAGAGACTTTCCACGGCAATCATTGTTGCTGCCATCATTGTTTCACTTGCTCTGTTTTTATCTGTCCTGTTTCTGCTCTGTATCAAGAGAAACAGAGTGGAGCAGGATGCAGAACCTGAATCAAGTCCTTTTCCCCAAATGAGTTTCCACAGCCTGCGGAAAGCTACTGGAGCGTTCTCTCCTCGGAATCTGGTCGGATCGGGAAGTTTTGGATGCGTCTACAAAGGCATCGACCCAAAAGACGGGAAGATCATAGCAGTGAAAGTTTTGAACCTTCTTCACCCAGCAGCTGCCAAGAGCTTCAGAGCTGAATGCGAGGTTTTGAAGGAAGTCAGACACAGAAATCTCGTCAAGCTGCTGACATCATGCTCAAGTGTCGATAATGAAGGGAACGAATTCAAGGCCTTAGTTTATGAATTCGTGGCTAACGGAAGCCTGGATGAATGGCTGCATCCGCATCACGATCCTGAATTCGAAGCAGAGCAAGATTTCGAGTTCCCTCCGAGGAGGGCGAGGAAATTGAATTTGATAGAGAGATTGGATGTGGCTATCAATGTCGCGAACGCATTGGAGTATCTTCACCATGGCCTCAAGACTCCAGTAGTTCATTGTGATTTGAAGCCAAGCAATGTTCTTATCAATCATGAAATGACTGGGCTGGTGGGCGATTTCGGGTTGGCTCGAGTTTTCTCAGAAGCAGCAGCCAATGCTGTTAGTTGCAGCCTGTCTAGCAGCTTTGGAGTCAGGGGAACCATTGGCTACACAGCTCCAGGTAAGAGCTGTTACTTTGTTGCAGCTTTCCAATTCAATTCAACCGTTTTTCCCCCACCTGATCCAAAAATGACAGGAAATTAATGCATTGTGGGTTCTGATTGAATTTGCAGAATATGGGATGGGGAATGAGATATCTACTAGCGGAGATGTGTATAGTTACGGGATTTTGTTACTAGAGATGTTCACAGGAAAGAGACCCACGGATGAGATGTTTAAGGACGGACTTAACTTACACCGTCACGGGAAGGTGGGTTCGTGGGAGGAAGCGAAAGAGATATTGGACGCGACTCTGGTCGAGGAGATTGAAGAAGCATCGGTATCCCTCGCCACAAGCACTGCGGTTCAACAATGTTTGGTTTCCATACTTGGGCTCGGTGTAGCTGCTTCCGTGGAGTCGCCCAGAGAGCGGATGAGTATCACCGACGTTGCAGTGAATATGTCTGGAATTAGGGGAAAACTTGCACAAAAGTGGGATCGTAGAAGGATGGGGGGGAAAAAATATTGGGCGAGTACTTCTCGTCGAGAAAATTCGGAGAAACCGATTGATATATGCGATGAGAAACACGGTAGCTCTACAGGATGAGAGGGCTTTTGATAAACTTGTACAATTAAATTTTAGGCTAGTAGTTTTGGTCGATGATATCGAAGGAAATATCGATATGCCACGACGAGCACTGCAATTCAGAAATTTCTGATCTTTATATACATGGACTCGACGTAGCTACTTCCATAGAATCGCCGAGAGAGGATGGATGAGCATCAACGATGTTGCAGTGAAAGTTGTTTGATAATCTATCATGGAAATACAAACATCACTTGATTTTCTTGTTCCATCCAAGGCAAATTAGTGATTCGTTGAGGGCTCTGTCTCCTATTTCGATTTTAGCATATTTATAGTGACCAATTAGGTTGGTCGCTACGAGATTCATTATTCTCACTTTTGGTCGCCAATAATCACCTATCACTACCAAACTCAAATCTTGGTCAGCAAAAGTTTTCTCCAATAAGGCAACGGTGGCACAACTGCAACCAAAAACGTTGGTCAGTAAAAGTATTGCCACCAAAATCTGACTTTGTGGGGATCAGTTAGCGTGACTACCCCTAAAGGGAAAGTGATTTTTGACACCCCCTTTATGATTGGCCAATTTTATTTCCAATCATTGGCAAGTATTAATTAAACTGATTTTTTATTTTTTTTAATCTTGTAATTTGGGGTCTCTCACCACATTGGAAAAGAGAAAGAATCTGGGGAAAAACGAAATCACCCCCATTAATTACATAATTAATTTCTCTCACTGGTACATTAATTACACGTACCACTCCACTGGTACACGTACCACTCCACTGGTACACGTACCACTCCACTGGTACACGTACCACTCCACTGGTACACGTACCACTCCAATGGTACACTTACCACTCCACTGGTGCGAGCAATCCACAAGGTAGGTTAGAGTGAGAACAATACCAGTGTAATGATATTTTTCATAACAATGATAAACAATAATAGGGAAAAAATAGGAACTTTCCATTAGTAGCCAAAAACTGTGTTCCAAAATGGGTTGCAAAATTAGGGAAATGCCAACAACAATGCCAAAAGCAATAAATTATCCTTCGAATGTGAATAAACATAAAGTCTTCACAATTTTTTAAGCCTAAACAGGACATATGGTTACACGTACCACTCCACTGGTACACGTACCACTCCACTGGTACATGTACCAGTGGAGTGGTACGTGTACCAGTGGAGTGGTACGTGTAATTAATGTACCAGTGAGAGAAATTAATTATGTAATTAATGGGGTGATTTCGTTTTTCCCCAGATCCTTCCCCATTCATAATTACCAACGTTTTTCTCCTTCCCCATTCATAATTATTATCACAATTAAGGCTTTCCCAATTTACAAGATTACAATAAATAAAGTAAAAAGCTTAAATGGAAAAGTGACCAATCAAGAGGAGGGTGTCAAAAACCACTACCCCTTTAGGGGTTAGCATAGTATCCGACCCCGACTTTGTGACCCCAATGACAAAAAATTTATATCGCTAATCATTAACGGTATAATATCGATGCTTATTAACATAATCCAGAGAAAATTATACTAAATTGATTATGGAAACCTTATTTACCCGATTCAATTCACTGGTAAACACGATACCGATAATTACTCAATCTCATCCAACACGAGTCACAAGTATAGTTAGTAAATACTCCGTTTAATACACGTAATTGTACCCGTACGTATTTTATCTATTTTAAACTTTCGTATACGTATTATTGTCAAGCTTTTTTATTTTTTCCGTTCATTTAATGTCTCACGTACTAAACACATTTAATATCCGTATTTAATGAATTAGATTGTTAACTTTACTATTATTTATATATTTATTTGTTTTTAAAATAATTAATTTTATTTATTTATGATTGTGAACGTACTATCAAACGTAACATTAGTTTAGAGACGACGTAAAATACCCATACATATTTTATATGCAACTTTCTCGTACCGTATTTTACTAACTATGGGCACAACCACTTCAAAAATTCAATCATCTTTTCATATAATTGTATCACAGAACATAGTACAATAATGTCAAAAACAACGTGTCTGAAAATCCATCAACCAAATTTTAATCTAGCCGGTACAATAGCATAGTCTAAGGGCGTACAATATATAGAATCATAGATATAGTCGTCCCGACGGCCAGCCGACCGATCGATGCCTGGCTCTCTCTACCACGCCTTCAATCTCAATGCAATCTGCACACATTCGATAATAAAAAAAAAAAAAATTGATTTACAAATTTTGAAAAAAAAAAATTAGTGAATTATTCGTAACGTGTCTTTCCTAAATTTGGTTAATTAAAGTAATTACCGTTTGTAAGTGATCTGAACACGGCCGGCGTCGTGTTTGGCGATGACGTCGAAAGCGTCGGTGGAGAGGGTAAAAGTGTCACAGCTGTCGCCGCTGCAGAGATTCGCAACCGTCACGTTCACCCACTGCCCTTTGATGCACGGCTCTTTGACGTCGTTCGTCCCGCCGATGCAGCTGATCTTGTACTGCCGCCCACAGGCTGCTCCATTGTTGAAAGCTCTGGCTTGAACCATCGCCAAGAACCGCCCTCCGTTGATCGCCGAACCGTTCGGGCAAGCAGAAGCTACGCAAAAATAGTATGTTAGGTATGGGCGATGAAAATACGTGTGTGCTGACTTTGTTGGATCGTTATACGTTTCAAGTTGGATCGGACACATCGTAATTTTTTGTAAATGATATTATCTGTATGTGTCGATCCAATAGCTCATAACACTATGAGGACGCGATCTAACTAGCGGATCACCGATGACATGTTAGCGTGCTACATAAACTGTTGGATCGTTACGTTTCAAGTCGGATCGAACACATCGTATTTTTGTAAATGATATTATCTGTATGTGTCGATCCAACAGCTCATAACGCTATGAGGACGTGCGATCCAACAGTGTCAGCACACGCTAGCTGTTCATAGACGACATGTTAGCGTGCTACAGAAATTGTTGGATCGTTATACATTTCAAGTTGGATCGGACACATCGTATTTTTGTAAATAATATTATCTGTATGTGTCGATCCAACAGCTCATAACGCTACGAGGACGCGCGATCCAACAGTATCAGCACACGCTAGCTGTTCACAGACGACATGTTAGCGTGCTACAGAAATTGTTGGATCGTTACGTTTCAAGTTGGATCGGACACATCGTAATTTTTATAAATAATATTATCTGTATGTGTCGATCCAACGGCTCAGAACGCTACGAGGACGCGCGATCCAACAGTGTCAGCACACGCTAGCTGATCACCACCGACGACATGTTATAGCGTGCAACAAAATTTGTCGACGAATTACGAATGGGTGCGATGTAGCATATATGATGAGAGGGTTTGAGAAAATGAAATCGAAATAGGCTTACAAGGATCGACGGTGTAGGACGCGGCGGTTCCATTTCCTCTGGCTTCCGCCGGAGAAGTGAAGCTGGTCAGAGCAAACGCCAGATTGAAGGCCAAAACTAGGGCTAGAGAAGAGAAGTTGCGGTTGAAAACAGTAGCTGCTGCCATTTTTGCCCGCTAATATTGTATATGAACTATATACTTATATATAGAGGGTTTTACTGGCAGCTGCTTTCTGGGTTTGGAAGCTATGTGGTCTTTTCTTCTCTCCGGCTTGGGTTTGGATTAGTGGGTAATGGGATGGATTAGGGTTTTATAAGGTAGGTTTAGATGGTAATTAAGTTACGTACGTAGCCAAAATGGTGTTTCTTGTGCCGCAGTTTCTTGTGTCCAACGGAAAGAATAATATACTACATTTTGGTGAGGAGTGATAGATGCGTACGCTATACTTAGTTCGAGCTTGTTGGTTTTGATGTGGGGAAATTTTGTTGGTATTTGAGAAAGTGTCCAAGTCATGGAACTTTGGGTGCATCTTTCTACCTGCCGGGTTGCGATGTCACCAATGTGGATCGAGGTAGGAGAAAGAGATCAAGTGGTATGTGATGTGTCGAGAAACGGTTTAGTTTAAATAATTCGTGTTGTTGGCAGAAAGTTCAGTTATGGATCTTATTAGGGTAATACAATTTAATATCCAAACCTTTCATTTTAAACAATATAATAGCCAAACCTTTTCGAAAACAATATAATATCCAAATCGTCAACTTTCCGTTCGTTTGACCGTTAGTTGACACTTCAAAAGAGTTCGAAGTACGACGCTTCATCAATATCCATCGATATATTCTCTGAAAAACCACCAACATATCGTGGTTCCAAACCCGAGAAGTCCATGACTCCACCATGATGGTATAGAATATCTAAATATTCAGTCATCTCCAATGCCAAAACAAGAAAACAAAGTTGTATTGTGACAATTTCCCCTAAACAAAGCTTTTTTGAAATGTCAACCAACGGTCAAACGGACGGAAAGTTGACAATTTGGATATTAGATTGTTTTCGAAAAGGTTTGGCTATTATATTGTTTAAAATGAAAGGTTTTGATATTAAATTGTATTTACCCATCTTATTATATCATTTATTGATACGTATGCCAACTCATATGTTGTTTGAAGTTTTCACCGGTCCGAATACCTATCTATTTGACATTGGGGGACGTCGTTCGGATTCAAAACACAAAACCTCTAGGTATCGAAGACTTTATTGGATGTCAAGAATCGCGTTTAGCCTCCATAACTCGAGTTGTTGAAATGTGTTCATTTAAGAATTTTATATCGTTTACTAGGGGTACGGGCGATGGGTGGGTTTTGGTCTCCAACTGACCCACCTGCTTACTAATTAACGAGTTGGTACAATTTCGATCTACAATCCACCCGTACTCTTCTTCGGATTGGGTTGAATGGGTGGGACGAATGGGGTGCGGTTGGATTGTGGGTTAATAATCAAATGCAATTCTCCAACTAGCATCTTGGAAAAGTGACTAATATTTACCAAAAATGCCTAGCAAACTAGTAAAGACGGTATCAATTTAGATATATCCCTCTTCGAATCCTGTGAAGATGTCCGGGTCCAGTAGTTGTATGTAGTCCAAAAATATTATTTATTTTCCGCCTTTAGAAGTTGATGGTCAATGTGTAGCGTGGTTAGATAATATGATGACTATTTGATAGTATAGACAAGAATAACTCTTTTTCTAGTGGGAATAGGATGCTCTGGTGACTCGCAACCCACCCATGACCCATCCGAATAAGTACAAGAAAAACTAGCAATAGAGTATTTTTGTATTACAATCATAGTTCAACCGTTTTATATTGCTAAAAACCGCCTAGTGATAGTATATATTTGCGGTCGAAAAGTTTCATAAACGGTGAAAAATAAAAAACAAAACAAAAGTAATTGAATGGAGATTGGTCAACTTAACCCTAATTAGTCGTAGCTCCTTCGCGAAACGGCGTCGTAGAGTTCAATCGTACTCTTGACTTGAGTTTTGACCTCTGTTAGGGTTTTTTATACTAGTTTATAACCCGGCCACGAATCCTAGATTCCCTGGTCATCAAAAAAATATGTCAACCCGGAATGGTATGACCCGCCGAAGATATCTAAGTAGCGACAAACGAACTACACGACTTCAGGCGGATAAAGCAGCTATAAAAGTTATGCCTCGAAATTCTCAGTTGGGAAAAGGAGAGTCGAATTTCGATCATTTCGATTGCAGGAAATCGTTCGACTCCTCTCTCTGTAACTAGAGAGGTAGGCAAACCTGAGAGGTTCTGGAATTCCATCTCTATCTCGGGCGTACAGTCAAGCTCCTTTCCAGGTCTTTTCATCTCCATCTCTATCTCGAGTATTGCATAACCTCTCCAACCAGTCGAGCTACTTCGTTCCTCTCACAAAGTTGAGTCGTATAGCTTCTCATATGTTGGTCCATCAATCTTAGGGCTTCATATTCTCTCCAACTCAGTCGAGTGACTTCGTACCTCAGAAAGCCCAGCTGATAGACCGATAATTATACATGTTTTCACCCCTTTTCTGAAGTTGTTTGTGATGAGGAATCTCGTGTTTTAAGCCGATTTCACGCTAGGTTGTGTGTTTATGTCATATTTCAGGACCCGGCGTTGGAATCGAGGCGGAGAAACGAGTTCTGGGTCGAAAGGAGCGAAGTTGGGAAGAAGGAGGCTGAAGAACCAAAATACCCGGCCAAAGGCAGAAATACCCGACCAGGTATTTTTCCTTTGGGCGCCCCGTGAGAAACAGAGGGGGGCCCGGGCAAAATGGCTAAAATCCCCGGTCGGGGATTATGGAGAGTGACCGGGGATTTTCCCTTAAATGAAACGGCGAGTTTTGTAAATACCCGGTCGAAACCCAAAATACCCGACCGGGTATTTCGACCGGGTATCGCGACCAGGCAGCTGATAAAAGGAAGAAGAAGGCCAACATTGAAGGGTTCCGAGTTTTTGAGAGAGAAATCGATTCCTAGAGAGAGAAAGCGACGAACCAGAGTTCCCAAGTGCAATAGCTTGATCTTCATCACCATTGGAGCCCGGCTTGAGCTTGGAGAAGTGCCGATTAACCGTCCAGGAGCAGAAATCCGTCTTCACAGTATGATTTCCGCGTCTGAATCTGCTTTTGCTTCTTTCTCTATGGAGTAGTTCCCCCATTCATCTGGTATGGGGAACCCTAGAATTGTATGCTAGGTCTGATTGTATGAACCCAAGTACAGAGTTTGTGAATTGATTATATTCGATTGAGGTTTGAATGATTGAATGACTTGAATCCTGATCAAATTCCTGTTGTTTCTGCTTTGACCTAGAATGAGAATATCTGCCTAGGTTGATAGAGTATCCTTAATCGAAGGTAGCGAATTGGTGACTTTAGTCGAGGAGCCAATTCGCTATTCTGTACCGAATTCCATTCGGTAGTGGAGGTTTGGTTCGTTAGGGCCTCAATCTGTTTACTCCGGTGGAGGTTAGTCGCCCGCTAGAGACTCAGATTGAGAGGGTCTGGAGACCTTTAGTCGAGACTTCAGGCTAATTAAGAACCTTCCGCAGTATAACTTTCATAAAAACTGAACTTGGAAAATTGCAATCCGACTTAACTGTAGTCTAGGGGGAACCATATCCGGGTGACCTCTCTTGACTTGACAACAACCGTTTACTTGCCTTGTGTTTTTGTTTGCTTGAGTTTGCACTAAAAGTTCACTGCTAGATAACGAGAATTCACCGAGTAGTCATCACATCTAGGACCCGGGTTGACAATAAAACTCAAACCCGCTATACTACGCTTTAGGAAGTGGTTACACTTGGCCATTTTCTAGAGTTACAGTAGGAGTGAGTCACCAGCACCCATGAATCATCCCATAACCGAATGCCCACCCCAGTACCAACCTGCCACTGAACACCAACAGCAACTCCCTAGCTGCAAGAATACTGCGCCGGACATAGCTAGGTTGATATCTGAGCGACGCTACCCAAAAATTACCACGAGGAAAGTAGCGAGCCCGTAGAATCTGAGACACTAAAGCAGATGGATTAGTAACAATACGTCATTAAACAAAGAGAATCTCCGAAAGCCCAACCCACCATCTCCAAAAGCAGATGGATTAGTAACAATACGCCAGCCCTGGATCAGTAACTTGAAGTTATACCATCACACATAAAGGTATAAGTTCAAGTTGTACCACAAAAGAATTTGTACAAAAAGTATAAGTATAATCTAAAGTTGTACCATAACGTTAAAGATACAATTTCAAGTTGTACCATAAAGGCAAAACCCTATAGCACTAACACTCTATAGCATTGTAAAATTCATTCATTTTCTCTTCCTATTTCATATTCTTGTTTCTGCCCGATAACTCTCCACCAATTATCTTGCCATTTGAAGTGAATCTCAAATTTGGAGGGTGAATGAATATTGAAATGTATTTTTATTTTACATATTGACATTACACAGAAGGCTCTCAATTACAAATGGATCATGAATGTTATATCATGAATGTTGGGATGGGATTAGGTGCTAACCCTTATAGGGGTTAGCACCGTGATAACTAGCAAAAAACGCTACTAAAAACAACGAAATCACTACGAATTATTATAAAATCAATACAACATCTAAGCTAAATCACTACTAACTCTTGGTTAGGACGGTGCTAACTCTTGTACAATTAGCACCGTAACTCCTCCAATATGAATGTTATATCATTTACTAATTAGCTAACTCCGTACTTAGCGAGGGGGAATAAAAACAAAAGTGAATGGCGATTGGTGTAGCTAACCCTAATTAGCAATTCGTAATTAGTCAGAGCTTCTCTCCGAAACGGCGCCATAGAGTTCAATCGTAGTCTTGAGTAGCTTGACCTTCTGGCCTTCAGATATAAACACAAACTAAACTGCCGTAGGAAGAAAAAGAAACCTAACCCAGAGCGTCAAAAAAAAAAAAAAAAACTTGCGACGGCCGGCGATGAACCCAGAAATCCCAGAGGAGCTGATCACTGACATCTTGTGGAGGCTTCCGATCAACAACCCATCACCTGTTGCCCGATTCCGCTGCGTCTGCAAATCATGGCACGCTCTCCTATCGAATCCCTCCTTCATCCTGCGAGAGGATCCATTGGACTCTGATCTCCAAATCCTCATCAATTTCGACAACGAAAACGACGAGCCAGTTTACAGTTTGCTCTCTGCCGACACGCTCGATCCCCTCCTTCCTTCCCCTGTTTCGCTGCCCTTCAATGCAGAAAACCCGCTCGAACATGGTGGCCGGATTGTAACAATTGCAGGATCCTGTAACGGCCTGATTTGCATATCCCGCGACCGCGACGGCCTAATTCTTTGGAATCCGGCCACCGCCGAGACCAAGCTCGTCCCTCCTTCCCCTTCCCGCCCCCAGTACTGGTGGTCTTCCGGCGCTGTCGGGTTCGGTTTCGATTCCGAAACGAATGACTACAAAATCATCAGGCGGTGGAAGGACGAAAAGGGTTCTCGTGGATCCGGCTATTTCTCAGAGGTTTACAGTTTAAGGAATGATTCGTGGACGAGATTAGGCGATGATGATGATGATAATGGTTATTGCCCCTGTTTATCCCGTATGCAAATCGCACAATGGAATAAGGGGAAGTTGTATTGGTGGGGCTGGGGCAGGGATGCGAAGAGTTTATCGTTCGATTCGTTTGACATTAGCAGCCAAGTTTTCCAAAAAGTGGATTTGCCGATCCCTAATTCTGAGATTCAACATCGTGTGCAGGAGATACCAGACTATCTGTTGATGAAGGAGGAGTCCATGGTTGCTCTGTTTCCCTTGACCGCAAGCCCCAGGGCAGGGGAGATATGGGTGCTCTGCAAGTACTGGATAGCGGAGTCTTGGATCAAATTCAGTACTCTGAACCCTCTCCCCGGAGCGATCACTGGCAGCTTCGTCGGAATTTCGAGGAATTTGAAGTGGTTGCTTACGTCGTTATGGAGTTGTGGTTGTGATGTTTCCGAGTCTCTCTCCCTCACTGCCGTTGACCCCATGACAGGAAAATTCATCGATCTTGATATCGGCGGTCATATAGAAGAATTGCCGGTCACCGTCAATTATACGCCGTCTCAAGTTTGCATGCGTGATTACTACATGTCGAGTTAAGATCTGTTGGTTGCCTCGACGACGGCTCACTTGCTATGTAGCTTCGAAGAAAAGTCGTCAGTCAAACGTTCCTGCTCGAGTACAATGTTGAGCAAGGTTTGACATTGTACTCTCTAGACAACTAACATGTGGGTTGTTTGGGTATATGAATTATGCAAAAGTTTTGGTTGAATTGGAAGGTTTTTGGATTGTCAATCCTAAGGATATCGATCGAATTTGGTTTTGAATAGAGTACTCTGAATCGAGAAATATACTAGAACATAACAATCAAGTATAATTACTCCATAGATATCATTAGATCTAAATACCAAGAATGAATGTGTGTACAAAGGTGCAGAGATTTTAGAAAATCCGAAAAGATAGGGGTACATAGACTGCCACATATAGACCTTGCAATCGGGTCGGGTTGGGTAATTTCGGGTTGAAAATCTTGGGTTACGGATCTTCACGGGTCGGGTCATGTTGGTTTTGCTGATTTCGGGTCAAATATTGACCCAACCCATCGGGTTTCGGGTCATTTCGGGTTATGAGCGTTCTCATAAACAATATCAAATATGCTTCATAAATTTTTAAAGAACACAATTTTTTACATATGGGTGACAATAGTTTGCCTAGCACATCTTAATTAACAAAAGCTCAACTCCTTCCATGCAAATGAAAAGAAATAAAAATTTCACAAATCGTGAAAAAACAATGATGAAAATAATATTAATAAAATAAACAAATGACGTTTGATTATCCTTACACTTCCAACTTGTCTTTCAAATCCATATGAATTTTTTTTAACATCTCACCAAAGTATGAGAGATTTTATCATTTTGAGAGTGACATATACAATGTAACGGGTCTAGCGGGTTCATCCAAAAATCAACCCAACCCGACCCAAAAACTACGGGTTAATTGATTTCGGGTCATTCCGGTTTCGGGTTAAAAAAACCTCAACCCATTCTCTATTTTTCGGGCGGGTTTGGGTCGGGTCAACGGGTCGGGTTCTCATTTGCCAGGTCTAGCCACATAAATTATAGGAGGATCCAAAAGTTTAAAATTACAACTCCAATGCTCATTTATATATTTTGCACATTACAAGAGTGAAAAGTATAGGTGTCAAAATGAACCTGTCGGGTCGAAGCGGGTTGCACCTTTTGGTCTTTTCTCATTTTAATTCTTGATTCTTTATTCTTATCCTTGGGTTGGTTAAGTTGGTTTGGTTGGCTCTGATACCAAAGTTGACATGAATTCTCATAGAATTTGATTCCAAAGTTGACATGATTCTCATAGAATTTGATACCAAAGTTGACATGATTGACATGATTCTCGTAAAGATGTTGACCGAAGAATCTGATACTAACAAATTGATATATGCATGGTTTTTCACGTAACTTTGCTTTCTTTAGTTTTTGTTCATTCTTCATGGAAGGAAAAGGTGGAATGATTACAACCATTACAATTTTGTATTTTATAAGGATATTTTTCAGTTTTTCCTAACTGAGCTTTAACTATTCATTAATTTTTGTTTTATCTTAGTTAAACTAGTTATTATATCGGTAATTAATTCAGTTTTGGATACGGCTTCTTCCAATGTTTCTGAATTTCCTATACACATTTGTTCTTCTACTATATCTGATATGAAGTGAGATAATTCTAATGTAACTGTATTAATGTCGTTTACTGATGTGAGGTCTAATGCATCTATTCCATCTATCAATTTATTTATATAATAATTGTTAGGCATTTTTACAATTTTTCACTTATTTCTACGATTAGCTCTTGTAACTTTTTTATTTCACTAGTATTATCATTTTGATGAAGTATAGTTATGTTTTTTATTTCTTGATTTTCTTCTTTCTCTTTTTCCTTTTTCTTATCGGTTAGTCTCATGGAAGCGCTTCTTCCATCTACACTTATTCTTGGATAATCATAATTTGATTTTATTATTTTTAGAGGCGATTCTAGTTGGATTAGTGGTTTGAATAAATCTTCTATGGTGATGGCTTCTTTATCCTTAAATGCTAGACTATGATGACTATTAGTTAGTGCATAATTTATCTGGTATGTTACTGAAAAGGGTTTACTGTTTTCTTTCATGAAATTTTTTCTTTTTAGCTCATACTTTATAATAATGGAAGAGTCAAGATTCCCATCTGTTAAACTTAATCCTTGTTGTAGATTAATATCAAATTTGATTATTCCTAATCCTAGATTTCCCTTTCCTTTTGCAATAATACTTTCTTCTTTGTTAATGAGCCGATCATCTCTTATTTCTAGTTCTATGGGTGCAGTTATCCCTGTTTTCATAGTAGATTTTAGAATGATTTGTATCGTGCTGATATGAATGTAAGCTATTTTATTTCTTTCTTCCGGTTGTAACTTGGATAATCTTTTCCTAATTTGTTCCCTATTTATTATTTGAATTAGGAAATCCCCTTTAGTTTGCTCTATTGGTACTGCCGTTTCTCCTATCATTTTTCCATATTTGATTATGTTTTTTCTATCAAATAGTTTGGATAAAAAAGATTTAGTAATAAAATTTTGCGTTTCTGATAGGGTAAAATTGGTTTGTTCCTTAATTTTCTTGACATCTATTATTCCATCTAGAAAATAGTTATCTTCTTCATTTTTACTTAAATAATCAAAATCACTGTTACTGCTACTAGGGTTTTCTGACATACCTGATTATGGCTTAGGTTGAATGTTGCAATTTCTTGCTGTTGAATGTCTTCATGGTGATGTAGTATGAGAGAGGTTGATTGCTGATGATCGTTGCAATGGTGTTGGAGAATTCTGTGTGGTGTTAATGGTTGGTGTATGGCTTTTTATGAATGGGTGATAGTGGGTACGAACGTCTCCAGAGTATTACCTCAAACGTTCTGTGCCGAAGCACCAAGACTTCACTTAGTCTTTTTGAGAGAGAAATCTAGAGAAATCTCAAACTTTTATTCCACTCTACCCCCTTATGAGGTTTTAGATTACATATTTATAGTGCAGGACCTAGCCTGCTTACATATGCTATTACATCATTCTCCACTTGAGAAAAGAAAAACAGACAAGAAATAAGAGCAAACCAGACACTCCTTCACACGTTTTTTCCTACATTATTGTTCAGATAAAATGGAATCCTTAGCTTTTTCTTGATGGATGATGACTTGCTGAATTGTCCACATAGTTCTGTCTGGATTACACCTCATTTGCTCCATTATTGCTGCTAGTGGAGGTAGTCATGTCTGCGGCACAGTGTGTACATATGTGGTCCTCGTGTAACTGCAATAATTCACATAGTTGCTGTTTTTGGTCCGCCGTTAGTGGTGCTAACGTTCCTTCTAGATTGATGAAGTCTTTGGCTAAATCTGTAATGAATCCCCATTCTTCTGCTGTAATCTGGTTTTTAGAATTACTGATGATGATCTTGTTGGTGCTGGTATAATTGACCTTAATATTGTCTGTTGGGTTAAGATAATATAAGGCTTGACTTACTGCATATAGTGATTTGACTTGATAGTCTTCTGGTATCCTGGCTACTTCCAGTTCATCTCTGGTTGGATAATTACCATTAGATACTCCCATCTTGATGATTGTTTTTGATGGAACGACTAGTTCTTCTTTGTTGAATACTGGGTAACTGGATGTATACCTTAGATAGATTTCTCTACCTTTGGCGAAAGAGTCTGCATACCTTTTTACCACTGTTTTGAATTTTGTTGGAAATTCATCAAAGATCTGGGTCTTCTGGGTATATATGGTATCAATTAATCCATATTGATGAAGAGCAAATAGTGTTGTTGGTGCGATTTTGTCTGTGATGATGACTGCTCTTGGTCCTCCCTTGAAGGTTGGGTAGAATCCCATGGTGGTGTGAATTTCTTTATAATTGAGAAGATCTTCCCAGCATTGTTGAAATTTTTGAAGTGTGGGTCTGTTAGCTTCTTCTTTTTGCTTTGTAGTTGGAATGTCCTTGATGCTGATGCTTGGAATCTTCATTACTAATCTTTTTTGTGAAGTAACCGGCTCAGCTTTTTGTTTCATGGCCATTTCTCTGTATGATTCTTTTAATACCTGTTCAGTTTCCTTCAACGACTTCTCTGCTTCTTCTTTGGTTGGGAATGATTGGTGTTTGATGTTGTGTCCCGTAACATGATGAGATACTATTGCCCAGTTGTTATAGAGTCCTCGAAATGGTCCATCATAAATGACGTACCATTTTCCTTTCTTTGATTTTCTTTCGTCTTCTTCATACTTCTCATCTTCTTCTACCATGTCTGACCATTTTGTTGATGACGATGGTATATCTCTTTCTGGCTGTGTACTTGATGACTGAATAGTTTGTTGTTGCAGTTCAGGCTGACTAGTGTTTTTGGTTTGTGCTTGCAGAATGGTGATGGTAGTTTTTATTTGCTCCAATTCCCCCCGCCTCTGAGAAAGTTGGACTTCGAGAGCACGAATTTGTTCCTCCTTTTGTTGTTGCTGGTGCTGCATTTGTTTGATTATTCCTTCCATTCGCGTGTAAGCGTGTCCGCTAGTGGATTTGCTGTTGACTTGATATACTTGAGATATGGGCGATAATAATGAAGTTGTTGTTGCCAGCGAATGAGTCTGCCTTTATTGAAGTCTGCATCCAGTTTGTATCTCCAAAAACCTGTAACATATTTAGAGTCGGTTCGTAATTCGAATCGACTGGTGAGTAATTCCAGCTTCCATTTTTTCAGTGTTCTGAGACAGGCTAGTGTCTCTAGCTCATGTATTGGGTAGTTTCTTTCAGTGGAAGAGAATGTTCCAGATATATATTTACATAACTTCTTTGTATATTTTTCTGTATTGAATGGTATTGTATAGTCATATTGTTTGGAATCATTCGATTCATTATTGCATCGAGATAGTGGTGAATCGTTCGATTCATAACTGATATAGGGTGAATCATGCGATTCATTGCTGATTATATTGCCATAGTGATCAAGTGATAGTAATTTTTTGCCTTCTGGTATTGCAAGCATGCAACCTGCCCATGTATCCCTTGATGCATCTGTCTCAACAATAAGAAAATCTCGATCGCATGGGTTATATAATTTTGGTAAATGATCACAACTAGCCTTCATAAATTTTACCACCTCTGTGTCCTTATCATCCCATTTCCAAGGTATTTTATCTGATATTTTTTGCTGAAGATATTTTCTTTCCTTTGCTAGATTTTTTAGAAATCCTTGTTCACTGATATAATTCAGACTTCCTAGAAATCGTTGTATTTGTTTTCTATTTTCCATTTTATCTGGAAATTTATCTAATTTTTCTTTAACATTAGTGGTTAGTTCTATTTCTCCTGTACTATTTATTTTCATTCCTAAATACTCAATTTCATTAACTAACAATTTAGATTTCTTTTTTGATATTACTAGTCCTTTTTCTTTTAATCTTTCCAAAACTTTTATTAGTTTTTCTTCATGATCTATCCTATCTTTATTTGAAAAGATAATAATGTCATCAATGTATGCTAAACAAAAATCTTCCAACCCTTCTAGATTTTTATCCATAAATCTTTGATAAATTCCTGGGGCTTGCTTAATTCCAAATGGTAATACATTCCATTCATAATGTTTTTGTGGTGGACATGAAAAAGCTGTTAAAGGTTTTGTATTTTCATGAAGTCTTAATTGCCAATATCCTGATTTTGCGTCTAGGCTACTGAACCAAGTTTGTCCTTTCAATCGTTCCAGAATATAATCTTTTCTTGGTAATTTATAACTATCTCCTATAGTGTGTTCATTGAGTTTTTTATAATTTATTACCATACGTCTTTTTTCCCTTTTAATTTCATTATTATTTTCTACATAGAATGCCGGGGCACTATGCGGACTTTTACTTTCTCGAATAATATTTTTACTGAGTAAATCTCCACATTCTACTAAAAATTCTTCTACATCTCTTTGAGTATATTGTATTTTATTAGGAACATTAACTTCGATATTTGGATCTTTTAGTTTAATTTCTATTAATTCTGAATTTGTGTTTTTTATACTATCCAAAGGGTGTTCACTATAGACTTCCTCTAGTTTCTCTTCAACTATTCCGCATGCTATTTGAATATATTCGAGTTTATTCTTAAGTCTTTGTAGGACAGTCCTTAATACTTCATTTTTTGTTATTATCTTGGTGGTAACGATTTTTGACTCTTGATTTTTCATTTTTGGAGCTTTTAGACTTATACTCCTAATTCTTTGCGTAAATGGCTGATATAATTTAAGAAAATTATTTCCTATTATTATGTCCAATCCTGAATCATGAAGATATATTGTCTTGGCAGTAAAAATATATTGTTCTATAATGATAGGCACGTAATGTTTTACATACCAAATTTCATGGATAGATTTATCTGCAACGATAATTTTTAATGGTTTATTTAATTTATCCCATCCTTTAATGGTTGATTTTTTAGCAAAGCAAAGTGTTGCTCCTGTATCTATATATGCTAAAAGGTTCTTATTTTCATACTAGCAGAACAATTACAAAATGATGCTCAAAGTCTTAAAAACTATTATAAGTACTAATGACCACGGAAAATATATCATTAAAAATCGAAAAACTTGGGAAACAGCTAAATGAATATCAAGGAGTTATAATAAGCACATTAGAAGAAAATAATAAAAATCTAAGAACAATATTAGAACATCAAGTAAATAAAAAACATAAAGAATTATACTCTGATTTAGAAACCGCCAAGAATATAATAGATAATATTATTAAACAAATACAGAATAAAGGAAAAGCTATTGAAAGCTCTCACGTTGAAGAAAATAAAATATTGCCAGAAGAAAATCTTAGAGAAATAATAATAAACCTTCAAGAAATAATAATTAAATTAGAAAACACTCGATACCTTACTATAGAAGATATGAAAAAATGTTTGGAAAATCATAATAATCCTAGCAAACTAACAATTGTTAAACCTTATCTAATATGACAACTATAGACGAAAATATAAATAAACTAAATGATTTATTAATGGCTTTAAATATTGAATCAGATAATGAAGATCAAATTGAAAACGATAAAGTAGTGCTAGATTACAGTAGTGACGAAAATCCATATGCAAATTACATGAAAACAGAAAATAACCCAGGCGAAACATCTAACACGATTCCACCTAAATCAAATAAAAGACGATTTAATGAATATAACGATGGTCAAATGCACTTTGATGAATATCTTTACAAAAATTATTACGTTCCTCGTAGGGGGGAGAATGGACGAAAATTCCTCACTCATACATTCCCAAACACTCTACAACAAGTTATAATAATTCATATATTCTAGACTTAGACTGTAGCACTAATCCATTAAAAGAATTAGAAGACTGGAAAAATCGAACAGGATTATTAATTCAAACCAACGAAGATTTAGAAAAACTTAAACCTAGCGAAATATTTAATTTTCTAATATACAAAACCACTGGAGCGGTCTATCATTATTTGAGTACAATGGATATTCCTGCAAAAACAAGTCTATACGGAGATGATGCTATAAAAACTTTTGAAAAAGTATTAAATGCTTTAACTTATGAATTTCTAGGAAGATATCCAAGAGAAAAAGAAACTAATGCAACCCTAAGTAATCAGGCTATTTGGCACCTAACGAATTTAAGAATCTGCAATATGTGTTATTTAGAATCATTCATTTGCGAA